ACAGCAATGTTTAGGTGTTAATGATAAATGGCTTAGAAAACAATTCCCAGCTAAATTGCAGGCCCCTCTCAACCCATGGCAAAGGTACGATACAAGTTCCTTCTAAGAATGCAGATTTCCTGTTCAAATTGCAATTGGCGATTCTAGTGGGTGTTTAACACCCTCCTCAAATTGCAAAAGCAGAATGTATCCGTGTCCATTTTTACTTTCTTGTGCATTACGGCGTTGATAAAAAGATCTGTTCTGATCATGTTACTTTATGCCAGTCAGCTTAAAACCACCTTGCAAGACTGGGGAAACTTTTTTTTTTAACCAGCCAGAGCACCTACAGACTTTCAGGCAGGTGGTGTTCGCACTACAATATTTGGCCTTGCAGTCACCCACCCCCACAGCATTCCTAAATGCCTTATATATATACACACATTCTTATCCACATGTCGAACTGATTTCAGAGTGTGGTATTCCCCATGCCGACGAGCACTATTGTCCGACACTTGATTTCCACCGATTAACTTAATGTTAAACACTAGTAAATACGGAGTGTTATTGGATAATCCGCTGCCTTAAACATCATCCATTCTCTACTGAACTGACTGAAAGGCACTCAACATATTCAGCAATGTATGCCTAAGCCTATGTTCCTCTGGAGAGGATGAAAGCGTTTCCGAATGCTGCTAGACCCCCGATTACATTGGATAAAGGTATAGCAGAACAATTGTTTTTTTTTTTTATTTTACTTTATGCAGTCAGGGAAGGAAAAAAAATTGTTGGTTTAGCAACAAATTCTTATCAAAGTTGAATGTGAACAAAAATGAAACGGCAGATGTACTTTTCCTGTGATTTTCCAAAGCTTTTCACAGCTGATTTTCTTCTTTCTGCAGGAAGTGCTGGTTATAGATCAGACGCTTGTGGATGCTCTGGTTTGACAGCATAGCTACAGCTTGGCTGCAGGATATAATGGATTATCCATTAGCTGCTTTTAAAAAAACATGTTTGCTGAGATTTTCAAAGCCAAATATAAATAAGCTGCTAATTAAGCAGCACAATTTCATGCTGAAGTGCACAAGGTTATTGATATAGACACATGCACATAGCACGTAAAATATTCATGGTTTAAATACAAAGACTTTTGAAGAACCAAACTAAAACCCCCTGAAACGTCTTTTAACTATCTTTCAACAGGTCTTTGTATAGACTGCTGACGTTCACAAGACCCCTTTTAGTCTCAACCCTGGATCAGTGCTTTCTGCGAGATCAGAGAGAATACATTATCAAGAGAGGGCGAAAAGGTTAAAAAAATAATTTTGATGCAGAGGATATGTATATTTTGTATTATATTTTATAGTAGACAAGAATGTGAAGCAAGTTAACATAAAAGATTGATTCAGCTGTCAAGGGTAAGCAATTAAATGCACAGCTTGCGTGTAATGTCATCAAATCCTAATTGTTTTTTGAAGTTTGTTGGCCTTTTGAACAATCTGAAAAGGTCTTTGGCCACTGTGGTGACTGCTTGATCCTTGGTGAGACAGCTGTTGATGTGTCACATCAACAGAACCACTTTCACAAAAAAACAAGTCCATATTTAATTTGCCACAGTCATATGTTTTACCTATCCAGTTGTTGAAATTTACTTTTCTTTTCTATGATAAAAAGCATAATTCATAATTTTTAAAGAGCAAAATCCTCAACATCAGTTTTCTAGAACTATGCTATTTTATAATAGACGAAAACAGGAAGAAACATAGTAGATGATTCAAGATGCTTTATCAAGGAGCTGAAACATCAGGGTGAATCTTGATAAATTGAGATTTTCTTAATGCCAAAAGCAAGGCCTCAATTTAATGTAATGTACTTTTAATGTCTGCTCATTTATTTTTGGCCTTTATGTTTACCGTTATTGCTCATGGGCCCAAACTCATCCATTAATCTTTACAGCTATTATTGAAAAACAAATAATTCCTAGTTCCCCTGAATAATTTGCAAACATTAAGAACTGGAAAAATTGATGCTTTCTTCAATATGCTCAGGAAAGAGCAAGAGTTTGCAAAAACCTTATTTTTTCTGTTAACTTATTCTTAATTACTGCTTTATTGGTTAAAGGTGAAATCAGTAGATTTTTTAAATTGGTAGTATGCATCCCATTTGATGACCTCTTTAAAGTTAATCACACAACATCTGATTAAAGCAGTTGCTTCTCAGTGGCTTTAGAGAGCTAGATGATGTGATTCAGTGAAACAGTATCTTTTTGCTACAATCCCCATAACCTAACACACAGTATGCAGTAAAAACTTAAATAGAAATTGAAAGCCAGCTATAGTCAAATCATAAACAATAATTACAGTGATTTGCTTAAATACCTTTCTGGTTGATTCATATTAAGCATTGCAGATCTAATTAATTGGACTGCATATTCTATACATGTACTACAGTACTGTACAGTATATAACCTGTAACAGATTAATAGTACTACTAATGATTAATTGCATGGTTTTTAACAAAAGTCCGAATGTTTTTTGCAAAGTCAAAAGTAAATGCTTTATTATAATGAAAATCTGGCATGAAAAAACAAAACCTATTATCCTGTGTTAATTGATCTACTGTGTCGTGGGACTATTGGTGCACAGTGGTGGCCATGTGTCACTCATGTGGGTGCTGCACTTCCAGTGGAGGATGAAGTGGGTCATGTCTTGTAAGTGAAGCCCGATGTTTTGGGGGTGAAAAGAACCACCTAACTGCGAGGGATTATTAATTGTATAAGGGTATGCACCAAAACAAATGACAAGACTTGAAAGTGCAGGATATGCAGAGTCGATGGGTTCTTCCCTGGAGATGCCACAACATTGGACAGGATGGTTTAGATCATATAATTATCATGCTTTGGAGCTACAGCCTGGATTGCAGTTTCAAAATTCAGCTCATTTCTTCTTCAATGGATACACCCATATTAACTTACCTGGACAGGGAAACATGGGACAGCCACACGCGTACACTCACATACCACGTCACAAACCTCTGTTCCCCAAGCCTCCCCCCCCCATCCCAGACAAATTCCTACCTATCCCAGCATGCTCTCCTGGGGCAGACATCACTAGCCCCACTGCTTGTTCGCTCGGTGCCCCCATCACTGCCTGAGAAAGACACTAGAGTATGTTCTGTGCAATACTGTGCTAATAGTGTACATCTTAAGGCGTATTTTTGTGAAATAATCCATCCATTTTCTAACCGCTGCATCCAATTCAGGTCAGCAGGAGTGGGAGACTACGCTGAGCACAAGGGGGGGAAAATAGACTCTGAATAGGATGCCAGTCCATCACAGAGCACACACTCGCACCAGGGTCAGCTTTCCCCAGGTGCTTTTTGTAAAATAAAAGCAACCAAAATTCAAGCAGAGGCAACTCATCACTTTGGCTGAATATTATTATGTTATTATTAATATCTGCTCTTTTTGAATAGTTTCCTCAACCTTAAGAACGTTGCCTTGACTGACGGGTCTTTAAAGTATTTTATTTAAAGTAAAATAAAGTATATATTTTATTTTTCAGTTATTTACAGTTACTGTTGAATGTTTTCTTAGTTACTGTATTTACCCATTGTATAACATTTGTTTGAAGAGGTAAAGTATGATGTGGAATATTTTTTCATATACTGAATGGCCTGAAGCTTCTTGTGCTGACTTCTTCACACTCGTACTGTATATCAATGAGCCCAAGGGGAGCATTGGTTTAGTGTTAATTAATTAACATTTTGAATAAAGGTTGGTTAATCATTCTTTAATGCATTTTGAATACCTGGCAGAAGTGGTCAAAAAAAGAAGCTTTAAGAAATAATCACTCCATTTGTAATCAATGGGAAAAAAGAAGACTATGTAGCCATACAGTACACTGAAAACAACAAAACTATACTAAGAAGCCACAGGAGAAAAGTGATTTCATGAGGTTCTAAATGACTCTTTAAAAAAAAAAAAAGATTTGGAAGAAACACACTTCATGCACAAATAGACCTAACTTGCTTTGTGAGATTATGTTTCTTCTTTTACAAGGTTTAATTCAGAAAGGCAACAAACAAACCATAAGAATCAGGGAAGTTAATATGAAAAACTTTATTCAAAATGTCAAAACAATAACAATCATCTAATATAGAGATATGAAATGAATTGATCATTTTTGACACTACTGACATTAATCTTTTGCATGTTCTAAGATGAACGAAAAGAACACGCTTTGCATTAGAACTTTAGAAAGGGTAATTCTGCCAACAGACACTTTAACAGGCCACTGTTAACCTCAATGGTCTCAGTTGCTCTTAATTTGGTGAAAGTCACAGTTCACAATTTGAAAACAGTGCCGCTTTTAATTAATATAAACAAAGAGGAGTCAAGGCACCTTTTTTCCTTTTAAAACAAATATTGATGAAAGTAACCTTCAAGCTTTTTAAGTTTTTGCAAAGACAGCCATAGGGGAATGAGAGACCACCATGCCACAGATCACCCTCAAATGAACTTGACATTTATCATCAGCAGTACCACACTGTACAGAACAAACACAGGTTTGATCTGCGAAACCTCTTCACATGTGGTAGGATCCAGTTACCTCTCCTCCTCACAGTCTCCAAAATGTTAAGATTTCTTAATGGTTAAAAAAACAGGAAAGTTTTCTACAACTGAAAGAGATGCATTTAAATAAAGTCACATTATGCACTTATGTATTAAATGAGGCTCTGCGCAAAAAAATGGCCTAGTTTGCGTTCAATGGCTGTTAAATGAGATTAGATGCACTTGATAACGCCCCACAAAACAGCTCTATCTAGCCTCTAACTAGGGATTTAAAAACCCAGAGGCAATCTTAAAACAATTACCCTCTTCAGTTCACAGATGTAATAATTTCATACACACAGGGAAACACTCTGTCTCACACACAACCCACATTTCAACAAAAGAAAAAAAAAGAGCCCTCCTGTCTTTGAACAAAATGGCAGCAAAATGATATTCCAAACTCAAAAGACCATTGGTTAGAAAAAGTTTAATTTATTTATGAACATTGTTTTTTTTTTTCTTTTCCCTCACCAGACATAACCTCAGGTCACACCTTACTGTCATGGTCTATAATACTTGACACTATGGTGAAGCGAAGGTGAACACTTTAGATGACCATATTCTTGAAGTTAAAATTTTTTTTAAGAAAACAAATTACAGTGTAGAAATGAACAAAAAAGAACCGTATTCAACAGGTTCCCTTAAATGCCACAAAAATCAGCAAGAGATCAAACTCAATTCCAACTAACTGGTTTAAGCAATGGGCACACAATCTATTTATATAGCACTCATTGCATTCATGTCTTGATTTGTCAAACAGAAACGTGAACATCAGCATACATTAAAAATGTTAATGTATATATTTTTTACAAATCTATTTATATAAAAAAGTTATTTGTATTTCAAGTTGAATAATGCATTTCCTTCTTGAAGGGCTATCCCTTTTAAGCTATGCCACATTATTCATGAGAAGGAAAAGACCTTCATTATCCACAGCTTTGTCCCAATAACATGCGATTATGTTGGATGGATAACATTTTCACAGTGCACTGCATGAAATGTCTCTCACCGGATTGCCTTAAAATTAGCTTTTTTTTTTAAATGCAGCTTTCTAAATACTGTAAAACAGACCAAACGGCAAAAGCAGGGCAAAACCATGTTCATGATATTCATACATTGCAAATCCCAGGAAAAGTTCCATTTTGTAAACGTAAATGTTTTGTAATTTCCTCCAACCAACTCTTTGTGTCCACTTTATCGTACTAATTTAATACAGTTTTTTTCCTTCAAATGTACAGAAGAATTACACATAGGATTACATTTTTTACAATGGAACAAAAAATTCAAAATTAGATTTGTAGAACTCAAACTCTCCTACACATTTATTAAAGAAGCTGTGAAAGTATCAATGTAAATATTGCCTTAAAGAAGACATAAAGACCCAAGTTTAAATTGGTTTCTAAAATCACGCCAGTATTATATCCTTTTAACCCAACAAAGCAGCTCTCAAAAAAGAAATAATACTCTGCTGTCAAAATGGTCTATAAGCTTGTTTTTTGAAATGCTAATGTCTTTGCATTTGATGGGATTCTTATTTTCATCAGATGGGGAAAAAAAGGAGTTGCTTAGCAACAGTTGCCATGGTTTAGACTAATTAGAGGTAGTCTGCACTGAGGATGCTTCGATGACTCAATGCCTGCCAATCTGCAGGCAGGCCTCACTCTTTGTGATGCTGCAATGCATCAAGCATCCCCCCCCCCCCCCGAGAGGAAGTAGATCTTTACTTTGACCTCTATGTTGTACAAGAATTTGCTGACTTTATAGTCAATCTACAGTATAAAGGCAAAGAAGTGGTGAATTAAAACAAAACCTCCTTGAGCACAATGAAGGCAAACAGTCTGATTGCAGGTAGACCTAAAGTAGACATATAGGGCACAACTTCCTGAGCCACGTACTTCTATAAACATTAAAGTAGAAATGAAAGATTAGCCCAATGCACACAAACTTGGTTTATTATTTGTTGTCTGTAAATGAATATCCATGAATACCCTATTCATCAATGTTCCACAATGAATTATCCTTAGGGATTGCATTGACGATAAATCCGCCAAAGAAGTCATTTAGCATTCTGAATTAAGCTTTAATAAAAACTGAACTAGCTATGGGATCTACAGACTCACTAAATGACTGATTTTTACTTTTCTTCACATTTTGCGGCCTCTCAACTTGGCTGTGGCTGTGGTACGTCCTGGACAGGAAACACGTACATCACAGGGCACACACAGACACAGACTCACACTCACGTCTAGGGCCAATATTCCCCAAACGGCAACTAACCTACCTGTAGGTCTTTAGACTGTGGAAGGAAACCCACATAAACACTCCATACAAACTCCACACTGACAGCACACCAAGACCAGAACTCAAACTCAGCACTGCAAGGCAACAATGATAACCTGTACACAATCTTGCCATCTCCTATGACCTTGTTGGCTATTATAATTTATAATTCACTTTGTCCAATGTGTAATAGAATCATTCAGACATTAAGCCTTGTAACAGGTCAGGGATCCTATTATTAATCCCTCCTGCAACTTTTATCTATCGACAGCATTTAGCACTTGTGTATTTAATACAATCCTGACAACAGGAATGTTGGAGCTGGTACCGTAACATTGATAAAACACTCTTTTATTGCAAAGTATTCTTATCGACATATTTCATCATTGTTTTCGATTTTAATAATGGTTCAATCCATTAAAAAAAAACTCATTCTTGTTAGAAATTGTAGAAGAAAATGTATATACAAAAACATGACAAATGTTGTAAATATGGTATTTGCTTAGGAAAGCCTGATGAACACATACAGCTATGCACGGTAAAGATCTTTGTTTTCATACTCATTACAATTTCTGAAATTATTGACAAATGACCCTTTAAATAGTTAACTGAAGAACAAATCTTGATTTAAAACGCTATATTTATATTATTCTTTCCACAAACGCTGTCGCTCTGTAAGAAATAACCTTCAAATAGAAGCAAATGCAAGGCTGGCATAAAGGCATCTCAACTAGAAAACTAGATTCAAAATGTCATATCTGACTGCACATTGTCAGTGCTGGAAAGATATAAACCAAAAAAGTTTGAAAATATTTGTTTCGTGCATACTGCTGATTCTTTCAATAATCAGCTATTAATTGGCAAATATACAAACTCTTCCTTAAGTCTTTGTTGCTCATGCACTTTACAACCCAAATGTAGACTTGTTGTTGTCAAACGGACGTCACTTCCTTGAATAATTCCACTGATTATCAAGTTATTGCAGCAAAATCTTTTTATTTGGTTTTCCATCCATCACATCTTCCCAATAACCCTGACTGCATCATATAAATGTAGCATGTTTTATTTTCCATTACAACTAATAGTAATAGTAGAAAAAAAGGTGACTGGATGAATAGTTAACTTCAGGCAGAAGTGAAAACAAAAGCAAATCTGTGTCCAGTATAATGCTGATGTCAAGAGTTCCAGTTGTTCAGTTGGAAGAACGATGCAGACTGTTTATAACCAGTTGTTCATGAGAACACCACTACTTATTATGAACAATATATCTGTCACTATGCAACCAAATATTTCCTAGCCCTCCATCAAATACTTTGCACTCCATTGACCACACTGTTTTTGCTTAATGCAGAAGCAGAGAACATTTGGAATAACATACAACTACTGATCATTTTATACTGTAAAATAATTATAGTACTAGAAATTGTAGCTGTGCATAATATTTTCTGTCTAGATACTATCTTGTGTTTGCTAATCTGACCACTTTTTCTGACACCTCCTTTATCTTGCAAGGCCTTTAACACAAAAGCAGTTCATCTACTGTAGGTCTACAGCCTGTTTTGTGCTGATTTTCACACAAAGCATAAAGTACAAATGCCACAAATAGTGACTAGCTGAAAAATATCAGTTTAAGAAAATATTGAATGCAGCCCTCTAATGTTATATCAACAGATAGAAAAAAAAGAGTTACTTACCTCTCAGTCAAAAAAATTGAAAATGATCTTCCTTATGCCACAGTTTTCCTGCAAACATTTGACCTAGAGAGTCTTCTTGTGTTTTGTTTTCCAAACTTATACTGTTTTTATACACACAGAACTTGAGAGGAGCTTAAGACTCAGGAAAACAGGTCTGTTTCACTTGTAGTAGGATATAGTAAACCTAATCTTAGTAATCTCATTCCTTTTCTGACCCATGCAAAGTCTAAGAAGTGTCACAGAGCTAATTAGAAAACAGCTGGGATATATTTGTCTAATTCTGTTCATGAGGCAAGTAAAGGCTTTACGATCTGTCTCAGGTGTGTTCAATAACACTGAGTGCTGTTTCTTAGGCACTATTTATGTTCTTTGCTTCTGTAGCAAGAGACATGGCAATGTTGTAGAATTATACAAAATACTGATTTAATGCATCTTTCATAAAATGTCCATAATTGTGCAACAAAGACAGCATAAACATTTAAACTTAATTCTGTGGGATAATTAATCTCACTGGCTATTGTGTCCTTTAAAAACTTTAATTGAACATGTGTTAAATTGTGGAGTGAGTTAATCTGATACCAATTTGTGAAAAGGTTAGTTTTTTTACCAGGAAAATGTAAATTCCCTTCTTCTTTTTCAGGCTACCAATCATTCTGAGTTTTCAGTGACATATTGCAGTACAGTGCACTGCTGCCATCCAACACAGTCCCTCTGTTTGTTTTCACATACAAAAATAAAGTAAAGGAAATTACTTGCTTGATGGTTTGAAGGAAGATCACATTGACAAGAGCAACAAGGAATGCGGAGGGTGGTGGATTTTGTTTGGGGCAGGGGAGAGGGTCGAACAGTTTTGTGTGCGTGGGATTTTCATAATCTTAACAAAAAACTATTTCATAAGGCAGACGACATTGCCGAACACCGATAACCAAAATATTGCACACCAAGACTTGAAGTAAATGAGTCAATATAACTGGCACAGCGCAAGTGTCACTGTCATATGGGATCCTTTTCCTTACATAAATCTACACTTTTACAGAGTCCCGTTGTCTCCTTTATTGCAGCTCATGATCATTTTTTTAAAGAATTTCTTTAAGAAAAGTATTTTTTTTTTTCAAATTTTAGTAGTTAGTTCATTGTCCTTTTGGCAGTATGTTTTCCAGAAAGTGAATTCCCATGGGCGTGGCTGATTCCATCACATCCCAGTGGCACTCAGTCCCAAGCCAGCAGCATGGCTCATGCAGGGCAGAGTCTGCATGGATTTAGGGAAGTCATGGGTCACTATTCTTCCATTCTCTCCTCCACTCCCATTGCCACTCATTCTGGTTAATGTGGAAGTCCTCATGGCGTCATTAATGGATTGCTGGCAGGGCACAAAACACAATAAACAAAATCAGATGCATATGCCTTTTGTCTTTTCTAGCAATTTACAGTAAACCTGATTACGAGTCTGATAACCAGCTGCATTCTATTCTGGGATTTAAGCATGTTTGAAAATGGGCGGATGGATGGGGTTTTTAAAAAAATCAAGCCAGCTTTTCAATTAATCACAAAAAACGCTCTGTTCACATCCGCACCGACCTCCTGTACCCCTAGTGTGCACTATCTGCCCTTTAGGGATGTTTAGTTTGAAAAAAATAATTAAAATTCAGGATGTCTTAAAAAACAATTTTGTCCAAATAAAATATCGAGAGGCGTGTTTTCAGCAAATGAAAAACCATTCGCTTTCCAATAGTATAATCTGTTATCAACTGATTTGGTTGACAAGGCTGGGACTGAGAGGAATACCATATTACTATGCATCAGTGTGAAGCAGGGGAGGAAATGACACTGAACAGTAACAACAGCAGACCTTCTCGACTATCTTTCCATCTACAGGCAGCTGGCATTAATGAAAGCCTGTGGGCTTGAAATGGGAGTTAACAATCCCCATACTCTGTTGTGCACTTGCAGTTTATGAACCAGGGGTAGGCAGCTCCAGTCCTGGACTTCTGTGTTTGTTTCTTTTTTTCATTCCATCTCAGACGTTTGAAATAGTGGATGAAAGAAGACACATCAGTTCTCGGTCTTAATCCAATGCTGAATGAAAGTACATCTAAAGACTGCAGCAACTGAGGACAGGAGTTGCCTAGCCTTGTTATAAACGCCTTTTGTCACAGGACACCAGAGTACTTTTCTGAAAATCATCTATACTGGGAGCCTTAGGTAATTAACTAATTTACACCAAATTATTAAAGTTTAAAGTTTGTTCTGTGAGTGTAACAGCAAAATTATTGAATATTTCAAGAACATAAAGTACATAAAAAGTGAGAGTATGTGTGAAAGTTGGCATCAGCCACATGTAAACTGTCACGGCACAAAACTTTTGAGGAAAATGCAGAACAAAACAAAAATGGCCAACAGAACAAAAGATCAAATTCATTCGGAAATGTCGGAAGCCGAAATGAACAGATTTAGATTGGAATTCCTCTCTTTGTTAATGATTATTGCTAACTAGTATCTGGTTTCAAAAATGATTTGAAAGTTTTAAAAAAGCATAAAACATAATGTTTGATTTCAGTTTTTAAAAAAAGTACTTGATCTGCACCTAATTGGTGTTACCTATGGTCAGAAAGATACACAGGTCAAGAGATCGACCTAATGGCCACTCTGTGGACAGACAACACAGAAAAAATGCAACAAAACTGGGAGTATCCCACTGCTTGCGTTGATGTCAAGAATGACGCACCACAGGACAATCATTCCTACCCCTATATCTTAACACTTTCCATCCCATATACGTTGTAACGTTCTTTATAGGTAGCATTAGAGCCTGTGTTCTCTAATGAAGTGGAGTTAAAAGCCTGTGTATTCTTTGCCACCTTCATTCGTCTTGACTCAGTTCTCGACTTGTAACAGAATTCAACCAAGGCGACGAGCATGGCCAATCCAAGCCCGCCAATCAGGATGTAGAAGACCCCAGCCACATTACTAAGGCTCAGTGCACTTGTCTTGTCCTAAAAGACAAAGAAATAGCATAAGAAACACGAAGAAGGCATCACGTCTGATGAAAAATAAATCTTCATGATAGAGGTTGCTTGCAAATGCCTAAATACATATGCAGTACATTTACGATATACACTGCATACCTTGTAATACTAGCTTTTTAATTAAGAAAACAATTAAATAAGTAGACATAGGCAGTAAAAAATATAATCTAGCCCATTTCTCTATCTTTTTAACAAAAAAAGTAGTTTTTAACAGTAGGTAAGAAAACAGTAGTTAATAGGCATATTCTAACATGTTCTCCAAGCTTACCTAAAACTTTATAATTGTGTATAGAGAAATAAGACATGCGCAGACATGCTCAAATTACAGGCCCTTTGTCCAACAGTGTAATATTCCCATTTCCATCTGTGAGGGGATTTATCTGACTAGAGTATTCTCTTCATGTCATAAGCCTTCAATCTATCAAGTAAGTTCAGTAAAAATGTATCTGTTACAAATTGTTTTTTTTAAATGGCCATATATCATATGGTTCCATTTGAATTGAATTTAAAATTGTGCATTTAGTCCAGTTTTACTGGTTAATATCATGTGGGAAGGAATAGAAAACCAACTGATTATCTTTTTCAGAGTTTTTGTTTTAAGACTATTTTAATGAATGAGTAAATGGTTAGAGCTTACTCGTTTGCTATCCATCCTCATTGTTATATAATTTGTAAGATATCACAAAGAAGAGAAGGTAGTCAGTCTTATGTATTTTTCTTCAATGACCTTGTCTAAAGGTCATTTTATGGGGTGAGCCTTAAAGCATGCAAATCAAATGCTTTTACAAAAGAAGGTTACAGTAAATAAATTAATAATCTGTAAATTACTGAACTTAGTAAGGCTATATAATATCAATGTATTTCACTCCACACTGAAATTTATTTCTTTTTGCACCAAATTATGGAATTAAACTTTAAATTTCATTGATGAATGTAATCCCTGTATTACTGACATATTGTTTTGAAAGGCTGCAGGATATATGTTCCAGCATTAAATTTAGTGTTAAAATATAACCAGCGACACTTGCTAACTTACAGTTAGTACATACAGTAAGTTACTGATGTTCAAGATGTTCTTTCCACTTTAGGAGAATTTTGCTTTTTAGCCTTATGTCATTTTTAATTAATGATAAGGATAAGGCCCAGCTTTTTCACTAAAACTATTTGACAAGGAGCTTAGAATATTTGTTATATGCTCATACGAGTATGCAGTCTAAGAGATAATTGTTTATTCATCTGATATTTATCTGGCTATAAAGTAGATAAGAGAATTATTTCTTTTTAATTCGCATAAACATGTTTAAAGTTTAATAAACTACAATAATTTCTGATGGCTTTTTCCTAAACAGAATTACTGAAATCAGAAGGTAAAAAAACAGAACGTACTCATGTAAGGAACATTTTCTGATTGACTAACAGTGAAGGAAAGTGCTTATAATTGCTCATGTTAATTAGAACCTCTTATAGATAATTTAACAAGCTTTGTAAGGACTTCAGATGTGTTTTTAAAACAATTTAAAAACTTGCTCTGCACTCTGCGTAATTAGGCAGAATATAATAGGGATCTGACCTTTAGCTACATGTTTAGCTGATGTTAGCTACATCACTGGTTATACTTGACAGTCCTAGTTGACAAGGTTAAGGGTTCCGTTTTTTAACGTTTGTCCTTTGCAAGTTTGATATATTCTTTTCTTTTAAAACCGAGCAGGAATAAATTACAGGTTGGAGGGAAAGAAATTTGCAGAAATGTGACCAGGGCTTCTGAAGAGACCCTGTTAATTTCATTTTGTTGTTGTTGCTGTGGTTGTTTTTGTTAAGTACGACCAACTTGTGGACTGACCTTTCTTCCGGAGTCCTTGCTTCCACATTCCCCTTTATCGTACCACCATTTGTTTTTCAGCTTGTCTAAGACGGCTTGCTCACTGAGTTTCAATACCGCTAGGTTTACAGGGATTCTTCACCAGGGAAATAACATAAATAACATTGATAATGTTATTTTATGTTATTCAGTACATGTCAAACATACACCCATATATATATATAATATCGCAATCATATTTTGAAACTGCAGTTTCAAAGTGATATGCTTTAATACTCCATCTAGCCTTTGTCTTTCTCCCTACTGCGAGATGTGTATTACAATATCACTTTGGGTAACGAGCAACGGCAAA